TGGTTGTTATAAACCTGCAGTATGTAGATGTAATAAGTGCATTTACTTAAGCTCACCTTTTTCTTAAATGGAAGTCAAATTCTATTTTAATGAGGAAAATAGACAAAATTGTTATTTTACAGGGGGAAGTGATTTATGGAAAAGGCAGTTATCAAGTAACCTAAGGGTCATAATCCTTAGGTCCAAGGTATTGAGCTAGAAGTGACAGTATTGTAGTTTGCTTCCATGTATGAAGCTTCTTGATGTTTCAGCAGGTGGCAGCATATGGTTTATAAAATCTGGGCTTGGAAAGGCAGTGGCAAGCAATTTCCATACTGTTGTCAGGAAAACTGCATAGGCATGCCCATGAAGTCACTTCCAGAGTGTGTGAAACTGCTGTTTTTGTGAGAACACAAGCAGGAATATTGGAGTCGGGTACTCAGACTGAAAAGGCAGGGAGCAGACACTATGAAAGAATAGCGTAATAGTTTTGGAAATCTAGTTGTCAAGACTAACGTCAGGCCCTTAGCAGCTACTCACAACCAGAAAGGCAAGCTTTTCACTGAGTCTTCTTTAACCAAATTTATTGAAAGGATACAGTGGCAAGTGGTTATGTTTACTTTAGAACTCAATTATTTTTAAGTCAATGAGGAAAAGATTTCTTGATCTTCCTAACCACCTTTTGATACACTAGCAAGGTGGCTATCCATTTTCATAATAAAGGAAGACTCTGCAGATGTTCTGGGTTTATAATATTTTGCAAACTGCCATTCTCTTTCCCAGGCTCTAAGAAGCCCATTCCAGATGGTCTGCCCTGTTGCATACTCTAAAGACATTTAGAGAATATAGTATGGTGGTTTTGTTGCAGGAACTTTGTTGCTCTCTGCGCCTCCTGGCTGATGTTATCTGGTCTTGAAAACTAAGCAAATTGGATCTGATTAGAAATTGGATGGAAATACCAAGGCTGTAGCTTAGACTTGCTGAAAGAAGATAATGGCAAATCACTCCCAAACTTCTGCCAAGAAAATGAGTATGTTCATGAAGTCACCGGGAGGTGAGCTTAACTTGAAGGCAACTTTTACTTTTAATCAAAGAGGAATGTAGATGGTTACAAGAACAAAAAAAACAACACTGAGGTAGAATTCTGCTTTTCTGATTCATTTATAGCTCTTATTCATCTGGCCCAAAATGTAGCCTCTATAATTCATTGCTATGCAAAAAAATATTCCCTAGAATATGTTCCAGGGTACCACGTTATAAATTATATGTAACTAGAGAGGCTGTGTTCTTTACAAGCTGACAGTGATGACATTTATATTGCATTTTTGAAATGTTAAAAACATTTATTTCAGTAGCTCTGAAATAAACATCTTTTTTTCCCAGAAATCCGTTTAGGTTCTATGAAACCCAGGTATGTTAACAATACTAAGGGGGGAAAAAAGCTTACTATAGGAAGATGTCATTGACCTGATTGGGTAATTAATGGAGATAATTAAGCTGTCACTAGGGGTGAAATCTGAATACATTTGCAGCTTGAAAAACATACAGGGTATCGTCTGAGCAGCACAATGTTTTCTGTCTTTGGATGTATTTCTTTCGTACTGGTGAACAGATAAAGTATTGTTATCTCCCATAATAAAAGGCCTGTTCAGGATGGACCTACTGAAGGGATTACAGTAATATAGAGTGAAATTGATCTGGCAGAGACTCATTTTGCACAGTTAAAGGTAGTTTCATTTTCTGGGGAAGAAAAGAACAGACAACATTAAGGCACCCTTTTCATTTATTTCACAGGATTACCTTGATTGTATCACTGACCAATCCAAGCTGTCTTTGGGTACAGAGGAACGATCGGCTTTATTTGGAAACATAAAAGATATCTATCGTTTCAATAGGTAAGTAAATATTAGACTTAAATGAAAGCATATGTAGAAATGATATGTAGAAATTTCCTGTTTTTTCTGGAACATTAAAGGATGAAGTTTAAACAAAATGAATAAAGAAAAAATAGGGAGGGTGGTACTTGAAACAGATAAGAGTATCATAATCTGTGGAGTGAGGGTAAAAAAAGTAATGAAAGGTATTTTCAGAGTGGTATCATGGATTTTAAAATCTTCTAGAAGGCTGACAGGCTCAGGGTCTTCTGAACCTCTGAAGGGCAGTGGGCAGGCAGGCAGGCAGAGGTTGCTCCTAAGGGCAGCACTGCCACAGAAGAGGCAGACATCCTAGTTCCCATCAAATGACGTTGCCTCAAGGAAGGGACCTTCTGCATGGCCATTCTGTGAGAGTAGCTGGGATGGGCAGAAATGGCCAGAACTAGATAGTCCCACAAATTTGTACTTTTAAGAAGTTTAAAAAAAGAAATAACATATTTTTAGTTTGCTGCTAATGGCCCTTCTGAATCTATGGCCAGAATT